AATCCACCATGGATTTACCTAACTAAATACACACAGGAGTGTGTGTGTTGTGAATCACAAATTGTGGCTTCTTCACAAATCCAAAAGTTGAAACCAAAAATGCCAGGAAAGTACAGCAGCCATAGTATCACACAGCAGAATCCAAAAACCAAACAAAAAATAATTACCACAGTGATCAGTGAGTCCTCACTATTTTCAATAACTGTTAGGGCTGGGTATTGTTAAGAACCTCACGATTCGATTCAATTTTGATTCTTTAGGTCACAATTCGATTTCGATTCGATATCGATTTAAATGCTTCGATATCGATTCAGATCGTTTTCCACAACACTGTACGGTCGTAGGTCCTTACATATGAAGACGGCCACAGACTCCGTTATCTTCTGTGCGCGGGCAGAGTTTGGTGGCAGTTTGCAAAGGAAGGATCTGTCGAGTTGCGTCTGGTTTTGAATCCACAGGTTTAGCCGCGGGTTGCTGCAGAGCGTCTGCATGGTGTCGGCTTAAGTGGTTGCGCAAATTTTGTTGTTGTTATTGCAGTATTTTAGTACTGCCTGGCACAGCTTACAACTACCTTACTTTTGTCTATCTCCTGCTGTTCCGGGTTTACACTGGAATGACTCCAAACGTCTGCTTTTAAAGTTGAAGGCGCTGGTTTAACACTGCTGCTACCTGCTTCGGTTGCCATGTTGTTGTTGTGTGGTCGAGTGCGGCCTCCGTCCGTACAACGCAAATCACACACAGTCAAATCAATGACCTTTCCCATTATTTTGCACCAAATGGAATACATTTTTTAATGTGTTTTTATTTTAATTGTATATTTAGGCGCCATGTTTCTACAGTAGCCCAGAAGGGACAAAACAACACTGGCTCCATATAGGGCATTTTGGGTTTTTGTAAGTTTCACAGCCACCATAGTTTCTCCTACACTGGTCCTTTAAAAAACATCAATCACAATGTGGCCCTTGTCAAGGTCGCTCAAATCCTCATGCTGCCCATTTTTCCAAACTGTGAGAGTGAAGATATATTTTATCCTACTACTACATTGTGGCAAAACCTTACACTGAGGCAGGCATTTAGAGCTAAACAAGACTGTAACAAAAAGATATAACTGTATGTGGTGAAGAGTTACTTACCGGCATTCAGAGCTTTCAACCATGGTCTTCATCCAGCGAATAGAACTGGCTCGGATATCATCATGTGACCTTAACCTGGTTAATCTGCCTTAAATAGAGGCGTACATTTAAAGCAGTAAACTTTACTGGAATTTAGTTATCATAAATGAGACTAATGCAGTCAGATTTAATAAATATTTTCAAATGTTTTGTCAAAAGCATAGAGTGAGCTGCTGCTCAGACCGGCAGTTTGTGCGTCATAAACTGTTTGATGGTGATGGTGTTTGTGGAGTGACCACCACAGACAGTCACTGTGGTTGTTCTGTCAGTGAATAGGACTGGCTGTCTCTATATGTGGTGACATGTCTTCTACTGACTGGATCTACAGATGGTCAGTCCATTTAAGAAATTAGGAGGAGCCAGATTATCTGTCTCATGTACTACTGTCAGGATATAGTGAAAGTTCCTGAAACTGTTATTTTTATAAAGGTTGTCTACTGCAGCTTTAATTCTTGTAAAGTGTGACTTGGTGTGTATGGGTTGGGGTCTATCTCCTGGTGGGTTTAGAGGGGGGCTGGTGTGAATTTCAAGTCCAGGGCTGGTTTTTATTCCCAGTTTAACCACCAGAACAGCGGACACACTGTGTGCTTATGTTGTCTGAAAGCATCAAAAGTTTGAAACTTTTCAAAGGTCTGCAGGCTGTTTCCTGCATCTGTGTGAAGGAATGTGAAGTTGGAGGCCAGGAGAGAAGAGGAGAAAAACGTTGAGCTGTGACTGCAGATTACAGCTGCTGATCAATACCATCAATACCTAATGGTGTTCATACCGAGGACTGATTGAAGACAGAGGGCGAGACCAGGGAGGATCAGAGAGCCTCTGCATGTACAAAAAGAGGGAAAGAGGGAAAAAAATCTGGTTATAGAGCAGGAAAGAGAGAGAACAGAAAGGGTGTGTGATACATGGTCAGTGTGTGTGGAAGGTCAAAGGTCAAAGCCACCTGGAGATTAGATCTTTGGCCTGAGATACATGAAAACTGATTTTACTCAAGGTCAGTTTACTCGTCATCACAGTTGCATAATGTCCGCTGTGGCTCTGGAGGAGCTTTGTCAAGTCTGGGGAAAATAACCCCAGATTATATCATCATGATATCATCAGTGTTTTTCAGTTTGATGTCGGAGTACACATTTATAACCCGCATTACAAACTGGAGGTGTGAAGTTTGCAAGATGTGTGCATTATCAGACAGAGAGGGTCTATCCAGTTGCATCATGGGAAACGAAGCGTCCAGTGTTTTTTGGAGCTCGACCCGTACTTCCAGCCTCTGCTCCTCCGATTCTATTTTTTTTTTTTTGTTTGGTCGAATAAACTTTATGGAAGTGCAACACTAAATCACTGCACTACTAGGATTATTTCACAAAAGATTTGAAAATGTTAAAAATAACAATAAAACAGAAAGAACACTTTTAACTTTAAAATAAAAAGAGTGAAGCAGTAAAAAGATAGCAATTAAATGGAGAAACAAAGATTCAAAGTGAATAATTGAGCATGGCTAACTTTATATATGGAACTACAACTTTAATCGTTACTGACCCTTAAATTATGAACAGACTTCGTCTTTTATGTTTTTTAAAGTGAATTAAGTGTAAACATGAAGTTCAGTTTAAATATCAGACGGATGGAAGCAGAAAGTGTCAGAACGTTAAAGAGATTTTAGATTAAAGGAAGAGATTGATCAGCTCCTCAGTGATCAGAGACTTGTTAAAACACTTCTGCTCTCAACACATAATGATGTTAGTTAAAAAAAAGAGAGTGTGTGTGTACACCCATAATCATTCAGATAGAAACACAGAAGGGTATGGAATACTGTAAGTAAATTTTAGATGAAGGAATTAAATTAAGGTCTTGAATATTATGATTGATGTTTTCACTTTTTAGTTTCAGTTATTTTTAAGATTATTATTTCAAACCCATTTTTGATTATAAGTTATAGTCAAACTTTTTTAAGCAAGTCATTCAACGTGTTTACATTTTGTAATTATCTTCCCAGTAGCAGTTTCCATTGTTTGTGGCGGAGTCCGCCATTTCTGCACTAGATTACAAATTTGTAGCCACTTACAAATGCTTGACTGCAGTTTTTAAAAAAAGCACTCACCTGGCGAACCATAGGTTGCATTTTATTCTGAAGCAGCCACAGGAAATTAATTAATGTTTTTATTTACGACTATGACATGTCAAAACATCTGCTCTGAGAAAGGTCTATTAAAACAATCAATCCATGGTTGTAGACAGAGTAGAACAATTGTATTAAAAGAGAACACCACAGATTTAGTGTTGCACTTCTGCAACAGTGTCGGACTCATGGTGGACAGTGTTTCTTACTTTAGTTTAGAGTAATTGTCACAAAAATAAAGGCAATGATTTTCTTTTGTGTGTGGCACTTTTGTCTTCATTTGATTCATTGACAGTGCCGACACAGACAGGAAACATAAAGAGGGAGAGAGACCGGACATGTAAAAAAGGCACCCGGCTGGAACTGAACGGGAGACACAAATGTTAAAAATAAAGCTTTAAATAAAAATGTCATCAAATAAGTGAAAATGAATGCACATACCAGCAGCTTTTTGTACATCCATGACAGACAGAGACCAGAGAAGAGACAGAGACAGCAATGTAACCTGGTCGCTACCCAGCACGCTTTATTAGCTGGGGACTACACCCACTAGCCAAACACTGATGCCAAAAAATGTGTTGAACGTGGCAAAATGACAATATATAGGCAGAGGGATGCAGGGTCTCTGCATATATGGGTCATAAGTGATGACTGAGAGGGATTCTTTTTGTATGACTCTATACATTGTGGCACCAAGTTGAAAGGAGAAGGTAGAGAATAAAAAAGGAACAGATATTTCACACCCGCTTTCATCTTTATTGGACACAGTCAACAACAACACATTTTAACACAACACATGTTTATATGATGCACAGTAGATTTAACCTGCTCTGTGTTACATCAAGGGAAGCTTATATACATGCACTACATCACACACACACACACTTAATTATTGAGGCTGAGTTCACTGTATAAACACAATCAAATCAAAGCAAAATTAATGAGAAAAACTGCTGATTACGTTTAGTGTGAAATTCAGAAATTAATTTAAGTAATTAAGTAAGCAAACACTTTTTAAAACACAATCAATCTGGTCATCGCACATCAGACATTAGAGGTAAATTTGTTATTCAGTCTGAGGGACAGACTGAAGAGGCTGTTTTATGAGTTCAGTTTCACAGGAAACACAAGGGTTGAGGAAAGTCAGAAAATGAAGGGAACTAAAAATGTAAAAATGTTCCTTCTGTTTTTTATCATGTTTATATTCAAGTCACAGAAGTGTAACATTGTCATAAATAATCTTTAGAGTGCTGTAAAGCTCAATTTCAAAAACATATCTGCAGTGTTTGAATTGTTTTTAGCAACTGCTCCGCATGTCGTCTTATTTTTTCCACATTGCTATATCTGAAGAAGAACCAGAAGATTCTTTCAGACATTTCGGTTCACTACCTCCACCAAAGAACCTTCTTTTTCTGGGTGGGTGACCTGATCTTCCTCACTTGTTACTTACTCTTCAGCTCTTCCTCTCTGCCTTCTTTATTTTTCTCACCTTTCCTCCCCCATGAGGCTGCCAAAAACATATTTTCTCAAACTGTAAAGAGTGGTGGAGAAAACGAAAGATTAAGATCTCAAAACTGTCTGGACTTGACGTTTGTGTTTGTGTGTGTGTGTG